CGATGTTGTAGTCTGTGGTCTTTAGTTAGCTAAGCTGAGTTAGATAAAAGAAAAATTGATTTCAAATTTGATTTGATTTGTACGGAAAAGTGGATAGATTGTAGGAAATGGTGTAGTTGTGTCATCCACAACAACAAGGGTAGCAATCAACAATTTACAAAGCAGCCAGAACATTGTGGAGAAGTCCGCACTTCGTAGGTGAACATTGAGTAGGAATTTTCAGCAAGCAAAGGTTCCACTCGACTCGTCTTTGGTTAGCTTGATAACCTCTCAGCCTAAAGAACCAGAACTCCTGACATTTTATTAGTACTTCGTTTCCAGATGAATCATTTCATGCATGGATAAATTGTAACTACTGTGCTTGGCCAATGCCGATTGCATTTTGGACATATAGTGTATTCGCAGACGATTCACAGAAGCCTCCTTATTGGTTAGGGAACACTCCGACTGGAAAATTGAATGAGTAGTGGAAGATATACCGACGGCCTTTTTCCCCACTTGCTTGGAAACCTGATCGAAGCTGAATGATAACTGTATTAAAGAGACTGCGGTGATAAAGCATCTTCAAAAAACACCGATCGCTCCGGATCAATTTTTTCATGAAGTGTAGAAGGATAATGCCTTTCGATGACATGCTCCCGTTCCCAGTTAGGTATTTCCACTTGATTTAGGGTGGCTTCACAAGAGGTACACTGTGCATGTGAAGGATTCATGTTCATCGATGCTTGGGCGGCGACATGCTTTATAACTGCGCATGCCCTTAAGACTCTCTCCGAGCGGCATGCTATGCGCGCGTCAGCCAATTTTTCGTAAGCTACGAATCCTACAATTTGTTGGTGTCGATCGTTTCGCTCTACAATGCTTTATGATCCGAAGAATCCATCTAAGATATTCGACATGTCTTGCCTTTCACGACAAGGTTCATCACCCCCTTTAACACCGAGGAGAACATTTGGCAGCAAATTGTCTGTTTGTTACATATTTAAGAAGTTAAACCAACGTCGTTACGATGTTTGTTTGCGAAGAACCTCGGTGGAAGGTTTGGACCATGGAGGCTCTTCAACAGAATTGTACGAGAAAATCTGTCTAGGACCGGTGAAAACAATTAAGAAGTACTCGGATAAATGAAAAAAAAAATACTCCTGTCTACTGCAGTAAGTGACAGTGAATTGATTCATTTTCGATCGCATTACTAGCCTTGGGAAAAGACTGACGCGTCGCTTGCTGATTCATCCAATTATGTTAATGAAGCTAAGTGCGACCTTATTGCTGACTCTTCACTCTATTCTTGGTTTGAATGTATAAGTTTGAGTGTTTATGCCATCGTATTAAAAAAAAGAAATGAAAGGAAATCATGAACAGCAAAAAGGCAAAAGATAGCGTAATTTAAGTTGCGTCTCAAACAGCAACGAGGGTAAAGGTAAACCTTTATATATTTCTATTCCTTTATATATTTTCTCTTTAGTTTCAAGCGTGGTTTAAAATTGAAATTCGTTCACTATGTTTGTGTCNTTATATATTTCTATTCCTTTATATATTTTCTCTTTAGTTTCAAGCGTGGTTTAAAATTGAAATTCGATTACTATGTTTGTGTCTCTGGCGTGTTATAATTCACAAATGTGATCTACTTTAGGACAGTCTCTGCTCATAACGACCCTGTATGTGCTTTTTGTTTTGATGGTATTGTTCCGTAAACCCATCTCGGTGCAAATATTCATCTTTCTTTCGAGGAGAGCCAAACAATTTAAGTCATTAACTACTTTACTTTGTATTTGTCTCTATGTTTTTGCGATGGTAACACCTTAAAAGTAACCTCTTAAACAAGTAAATCTGAATGATTGAAATAAGTAACAGAGCTATGTGATTCTTCTCAGGAACGTATATATACTGAAGCTTGTGTTCTGGCAAATCTTGGTTTGCTTCACAGATTTCCTGCTAAACATTTATCTTTGTAATGCAATTGCTTCAATCGAAGAGAATTTCATCCCACTGAATTTGTCATTCAAGCGATTTTTCTACTTCAAAATATTAATAATTTGCTTTAAGGGGGCACTCTATGACTGTTGTTAAAACTTTGCACCGTTCTCGTGTTCAAACTGATGTTTTAATTTNAATTGTAATAACTCACTAGCTACTGCCTGTAAGACTACTGAGAAGGGAATCCCTTGCTACCAAGGATCAATCTTTTTATCTCCTGTTACTTACAAGTTACATGAAATTGTGACTTTGATCAATAATATGAATTCCAAGTGTCCCGTTTCCTACGGTGCATCAGTTACCATATTAGCTCTTATTGAAATCTATGAGAGACTATGCAATTGACCACTAGCAGTTTTAGTTAATTATTCCTTTACAAGTGGTAATTTCTCTGATGAATGAAACAACATTAGCAAGGATAACGCTTATATATCTTTAAGAAAGGCTCGAGATTTGACAAAGACAATTACAGGCCAGTTCTGTCCTTTCTAACGCAAGCAAAATATTTGGAAAAGCTATGTATCATCGCCTCTATAGCTATCTGGAAGAATTTAAAATACTTTTTCCATTTCAGTTTGGTTTTAGGGAATAATGCTCGACAACCCATGTACTTAGCTCTATCACTGAATCAATTGGCCAATCTATTGATAATGGTGAATTTGGTTGCGGTATATTTAGGGATTTGGAAAAAGCCTTTGATACTGTTATCGGGGCAATTCTACATGTATTTGATAAAATTAATCAAGGTGGAATATGGCAATGTGCATGAATGGTTTAAATCTTATGTGTCTCATATGAAACAATTACCTATGCACCCAGTGGCTTGTTGCTTACGTACCTCAAGGATCCAATCTAGGGCCTCTCTTGTTCTTTTTATACATAATTGATTTTCCCAACATATCCAGCTGCATAGTATTTCATTTAGTTGTTTATGATACTAACTACAATATCTTATTTTTCAAGTTATAAACTTAGTCACCTTGAAAAAAAAATCTTTATCAGGAACTCTAATAAATCGCCGAATGGATGAGATGTAACCGCTGAGCACTTAAGAAAACAAACTTTATTGTCTTTTTTATTTCAACAAACTAAAGCCTAATCAATCATTTGATATTAAATAAAAGACGACTAATGTATCACACAATTTGACTCTGCAAAGTCTTTTCGTGTAACATTTACGCCAACTTAATGCTTGTCTGGGCAAACAGACCTAAATATACATGACTTCCTTTCTTTTGTAAACCACGGCCGTACAAGGCTAAGCAATTGCTTTATCTTAAAAACCCCTATTTGCAAAACTTTCGAATTTCTTCTTATTTTAATAGGATTGTCAACCTATGGAAGTTTACTTATAGATCTGTGCCTAAAAGTAGCCATTCTCATATCGATGTTTTTAAAAACTTTTTGAAAGAAACTCTGACAAGGCTTTTGAGAGCAACATTTGGCACTTGGTCACTTGATCGTGCGCATACCATTGTTCATAGCGCATACTAAATTTTTCCTTTTGATATTCATATAATATAACTGTGTAATTTTTAGCTTTTTTTAGTTAAATTTTATACTTGGGCAGCACCTTGCATGGGTCTTTGGGCATTATACATTTTATGCTTTTTTTTATTATTTTTTTTCCTTAGGGTGGTGTGTGTATTTTTTTTTTTTT